AATAATGCACATTGTTTTTTCAACCCTGACGACACTAATCTTGATAGCAATGGGGGTGGTGAAGGATCATCAAATTTCATCGATTTTGCGCCTCTTATTGATCAGGTAAATTATCTATAATGATAAATCTATTCTTTACATACTTAAAATTTAATGAGTGAGTTTTAATCTATTTGATTAGACACCAATTACAGTTCATCCTCGATTACCACTCGAAACTGTTATGGATTTATTCAAAAAAATGGGGTATGTTTATATATATATTGATATGTTTATTCTCTTCGTGTTTAATATTAATGTCGCCATTTTTTTATCAAATAGCCCACGTGTCATTCTAATAGAACATGTTGGTAGGTTAGTTGGCCTTGTAACTGTTAAAGATGTGTTAAAATATATTGCGCAAAGGGATGCTAAAGTACAGAACGAAGATACTAGAGATACTGAAAACACTGATAATACAGATTCTAACGGTTTTATTTATGGAAACAGAAGGAGTTTACGGAGGAAACGTAGTATGATTTCATTATCAGAATTGGGAAAAAGGAACGAGCGTAATTCATAGAGCTTAAAATGTATATTAGATTTATAATATATTTTACGTATATTACGGGTTATTGAAAAAATAGAAATTGTATTAGTTTTTATTTATTTAAAATAGTTTAGTGAAATTTAGTTTATAAGATATACAGTCAATTATCGATATAATGTACACCTTTACACCGGATTCACAGTTTAATAGACTAAATTGGAAGCACCGAATTTTTTAAACGACTATTACGAATTCAATATTTTAAGATCATACAGTACATACAGTCAAACCTCTCTAATCGCATCCTCTATAAATGCACACTCTTCTCTAAATGCATACTCAACCAAATATATACTTGACCTCTATCCCTTAAACCGTCTGTCAATTGCAGGCAAATTTGCCCTGAATTTTTCCGACAGTCATATGCTTATAAAAAAAAGAATTTTGATATTGAATATAATATAGCTATATAAGTTTAGTATTTTTCTAAATTATTTATCATTCGTGTCATATAATAAAATAATCCAAGTACTGTTTATCTATGATAAATTTTTAGAATTACCATTAAAATCCGTATTTTTTAAAATTAGATAGCTTTTGGTAGACTGGTCCGTTTTGGATGATTTTACCACCAAAATGATCGCCTTGATGAGACGATTCCAATGAACCTAAAATTGTTAAAATCTGATCACGGGATCATGAGATCGTTTAAATTTTATATTATAGAAATTTTTACAAATTTTATAATATCTCATGATATAGTGATCGGGATTTACCGATTTTGGTACCATTCGATTCGTCTCGTCGAGACGGATCGAATTCTATTCAAATTGTTAAATTTTGATCGCCAGATCACAGGATATTGATATTTGAATAATATTTATAAAAGCTTAACTATCTTGATATCTAATAGTCAGAATTTAATTATTTTGATACCATTCGATTCTTCTCGATGAGACGGTTCGAATGATGCCAAGATCATCAAATTCTGATCATTAGATCACGAGATATTTGCAAAAAACGATTTAAAGCGCGGTTCTATACAAAAATTTTTGCGCAGAACAGTGCTGCAAATCTTTTTTGCATCTATCTTATGAACTAGTGATTGGAATTTGTCGAACTTGGTACCGTTCGAACCGTCTCATCGAGACGAATCGAATGGTGCCAAAATTATCAAGTTTCGACCATTAGATATCGAGATCGACAAGTTATGAATATTATTCAAATATTAATATCTTGTGATCTAGTGATTAGAATTTAAATATTTGGGTACTATTCGATCCGACTCGATGAGACGAATCGAATGGTACCAAAATTATTAAATTCAGATCACTAGATAATGAGATATCATGAAATTTGTAAAAAATTCCCGGGTCGCAAATTTGTACAGATTTCACCAAATTCATTTTCCCGATGAATAGGTAATAACTATCAGTCAGCCGTGATGTCAAAGCCCCTAGCTGACCCACAAAATTTTTTCCACCCCCTTGTAATAACGACCAATCGAATTTCAGGATCAGGTGTAACGTGAAAATCGAGACGAAGCAAAAAACAAGAATA